TACGATAATCACATCTGCTTAGCAAAATTCCTAGTCTAGGGCTATGGCGAGTAGAAGTTGGGACAAGATTCTTCCACAATTCACCAGCCCTTCTATTTCCTTTGAAAAGAAAATTGCGTCTACCACTTAGCGCATCATAATTTACAGAAAAGTTACTATCGAAAGGTCCTTGCAGAAATTTAGTCGGGAAAATGCTCGCTGCTGTACACCTTCGCGAAGAGACGTCTGCAGAAAGATTCAAGAATACTGAAATCGAAATATCAAGGACATGCTGTATATGGTGAGATTCGCCTTGATGAGCTGAGCACACCACTGTTTTCGGATTCAGAATATACTTACTCCGAAGGAAGTTATGGCGAGTAGAATTTGGGAAAACAAGATTTTTTCAGAACTCACCAACGCTTTTATCTCCTTTGGAAAGAAGCCTGAGCCTATTTTTTGGCGCACAATAATCTACAATTAACAGCATTATCGAATAGTGCTTAATAGAATCTTTTATGTTACACAGACGCTGCGTTACATCCTTGCGAAAGGACCTCCACAGAAAAATTCGAGAAAACTGGAAACGAGATATCTAGGGCGTGCTGTACATCAAAAGATTTGCCTTGACGATCTGAACAAAATGCTGCTCCCGGATTTTGAATTTATCTATTGCGAAGGAAGTTTTGGCATTGCGTATTTTGCGTGATTCCCGTGATTCCGCGGATCCTAGAATGCAGCGACTTCCAGGAATACCGCGGACTTTGGAGAAAATTCCCAAACTCCGCGAGATTCACCGAAATTTAGCACATTCTGTGAGCGGTATTGTGATCTTGAGCAGAATTTAGAGCAAATTCGATCAGATTGACTCTCTCCATGCTCCCGGTATACTTTCTATGTGTCATCAGCGACAAATCAATGACAATACTGTTATCAGCACACTGAACAACCAAACAAATCCAACCAAACAAAATCTGCAAAACTGAGCGAAAACTTACTGTTTAGCTTATATCTATCATATCCCGCTAGATTGTGGCCCTCCTATATACTGGATGATGTGTCTCGCCAAGCTGAATCGAACGGTGTCCTCGGATTTAGATTTCAGAATTCGTAAATTCTGAAGCGAGATATAGCGATGCAACGCGGGTTCCGACGGACTCTAGTGATGTGCGGCGCACGCCGCTGTTCTCCGGCAGACTTTAGTGGAGTGTGGCGCACTCTGCCGCACTTCCGCACACTGCAGCGCACTCCGGCGAAGTGCGCCGCAGTCCGGCGACTTTTTTGACGAATTATGAGCGGTATTGTACTTTCTGTGGCAAAATTCCGCTCCTTTTATTGTTGTATCGACTTTGAAGAAAAATGAACTCTTATCAATACTATCGAACCACATATAACTTTCGTGTAAACAATGGCGGTAAAACTCATTTCTATTTTATAGTGGAGATGCAGTAATTTAAGGCTATGCGATTAGGAAGTGTACCATGTGTTGCACGAGAAGCAGAAAGCCAAAATGCAGTGAGTTGAGTTTTAAAGGTTGTGTGCCAATATTGCTCTTTGTTGAATCGATTAACACTTTGACTACAACAACGTTTTCAGTTGTCTGCCTCTTAGGACAATGCCCTTTACGGATAAATCTAAATTTTTCTAGCTAAAATCACATGCAGATCGTCGACTGTGCTGTACCTGTAGTGATTCTATGAAGCAGGCGAGAAACACAAATCAATTTCCAAGGTTAAAGCGTGAGAGGAACGAATTTTTAAACATCACTCTCTTCAATAATTAAGCCATGATCCACCATGTGGGTAAAATTGTACCAGGTGGCAGACATTTGACCCACCTTTGCGTCACTTGTTGTTAATGTGTTAAATGCCCGATTCGGGCGAAGCGGGGCTTGCCAGCTAGTTAAATACTCTCGCAAGCTTCGATCAACAAGGAACAATTGAGATCAGTGAGAAGTGAAACTTATTCTTAAGGATAGTTTTGCCCCGAAAAGCATAAAACCCGTATCTACTAAGTAAGAGGTTTTTTTAACCTCAAGGGTTGAACCTATTCTTGAGAGTTAACCTTACACCGGAAAGCGATTAATCCTAATTCTTCACTCTAAGGGTAAACCTTACCCGCGAAGGCAGACCTTATCCTAGGAAGCAATCAACCAGTATTCACAAACGTGGCTCATTAGGGAAAATTTAACCCCGGCCTAGAGGAAGGTCAAATTTACTTTGACACTTTGTAGAAAAATAACATAATTTCCCACTGTGCATCACACAGTCTTAACGATACTTCACAACAAATACTTTTGATTATCATTATCTCTCACTCCCTAAGTCCTCTTTTCGTTTCGTATTTACAATAAAAAACTAGGATGGAATTTTCATACTTTGTTGGTTAGCTTCAAGTTCATCTAGTTGAGCTACTTTAGTCTGATCATGTGTCAAATCATTTAATGGATCTATATTGGTGAATCAAAATTTGGATAAGGAACTTCCATACTACGAAAATTTTCCGAGTTCAGCTCAGTGTTCGCCATATCAAAGCTCTTAGTAGACATGTACTTTACTCATCAAATCTTTTAATGTAACCACTCGTCCGAACATAGAAAGGGATGTAATCTTGAATGAAAAACACGAGGAGGCCATAGGAAGTCTGAGATATAGTAACTACAAACATGTGCCACTTGTCAAAACAGTGCCTCCACGAGTGAAGGTGCATTGACAGATCACTCCAAACAAAAAACAAATCAATATTTTTCTGCTACTCGTGCACTCAAGCAGTGGTCATACAGTTCGACCAAATCGTGGTTGCCACGTGATCTCGCAATCTATCAAATATCTGCAAACCTATCGAATGCTCAATGCAAATACATAGACACTTAGCTTTTCTAAGCTAATGCGAACATGCTGAATTCCCTTGCTTAAAGTACATCAAAGAAGTGAGAGCAATCACAGTAATCAGAATCCCGCTGCGACTGAACTCACGCGAGGTGTAGTTGAAGCTTCACACTTCGAAAAATCGCCGACATTCATATAGATAAGCCCTCAACGCACTGCTGCGCTCTCAGCAACTCTAGCATTGCAGTCAATCTTACCGCTCCCACTCATGTGCTTTTCAAAGTTTGTGAGGTGCTGCGCAATTTGATTTATGCACGACTTGCCTCTAAAACCAGCGTTGTTTGAGTAATACAAGTCCAGCATTTCAAACCGAAAACAATATTTTGTCATTCAAATGTTGCCTTGGACAACACTTTAAAGTTTAATCTTTTGCCAAATGCGTAGGCTCACATATCACATCACAAATGATTGAAGATATCCACACACATTCAGCTTTATATCTCATAAAAAATTTTCGACCGCAGCGTAAGCACTTGGCCGTTGACCAAACAAGGTGCCACACTTTGCACTACAGATGTTGCTGACTGTAAAGCTTACTAATTTTGTAAAAGTCGTTTTCCTATTGATTAGTTGATGAGCGCCCGTAAAAGATTTCGTGCTTTTAGAAAAGCTGCCCGTTGACAGAGCATGCGATAGCGAATATGTATCGCACGCTGAGGTTAGGCCTCCAATATTTTCCCTCCTTGGCAAGAAAGCGCAATCTCGCGGTTCATTTGCCTCGCAAATGAACCGCGAGATCGCTAAATTTCAAAAGCTATCTTATCTGAACAAACTCATCCGTAGGACAGTCCCTTGATTTACATCACTCAGCTTTAAATACAGGTACAGTCCAAAATACAATTATCAAAGCACAGGGTTATCACGAAGCAGCAACTAAACAATTCGATTTCCTCAGAGGTACAATTCAAACAGCCCTTATGCTTTTGCATCAAGACTGAACAAACACTTTTAGACTTATTCTGCCTAAGAAAAAACGGTACTTTTCCATTGTCCAAACCCAATTAAAATGTCCTCATGAGATAGGTGCTTTAGACTAGAAAATTATTCCCACAAACCTTATGTGCACTGCCAGGTGTGGTGTGGAAATAAAAATTAACACATTCAGTTTGACATCTTTTTTAGAATCATTTCCGGTGGCATACGACAACATTTTGGATGCTCAAAAGCTGCTCAGCTGTTGTTTTATAAAAGCAAAACATTTGAAAGATTGTGTCAAAATGTCTAACATATTTCAGGTTGTCTTACATCCTACATCTTCCATCTTGTTAGTAGCTTCAGAAATAATTTATATTTCCCTTTTCAATTTCCGTTGCGAATCTATCCAGAAAAGAATATAGATGGCTTTAAATACTTGGCTGGCTTGTTTTCATTGCTTAGACGACGGACAAATGCCACCTCTCTATTCTGAGCAAATCTAATTTGTTTATCGAACAAAGAATGTAATTTTTATGTCAAAGCTCATTCCTGAAATTTTCGAGTAGAACTTCGTATAACCTGCTAAACTGTAGATGACATGTCATTTTTTTTCGACACGTGGCAAAAGGTTGACTCTCCATCCTGTGAAGATTTTACCAAATTTGGCACAAGGAAAGAAGCCATAATTTTTTTTAGGAAAATGGGTCCGGATAAAGGAAAGGTACCGAAATAACCGATACGATCAAGTGGTTAAATTTATTTTAGCGTTACTTGTGATTCAATTGTCAAAACTAGTTTTTTGTTCGGGCTGACACTTTGCTTGATTGCCACTAACCTTGTGACTAACAATATTTCAAGCTGGCAAACATGATAGTACTTCGTTTCAATGATATCACAGACGCGGGAGCATGAAATGAGTGCACTTATCGTGAGAACAAGGCAATTATCTTTCTAGTGCAGACTAAATACTATCTACAGGCCTTGCAAAATCTAATTTCTCGCGCCGTGCTTTGAACAAGTACAAGCGAGCCCCAGCCTCTCCGCGCCTTAGTGTTCAAAGCGCGGCGGTCAATTGGCCTACATCCTCGCAAACTTGAGCACATTTTTTGGCTCTAACACAGCTGTAATGGTTACAACCTCGCTGACATAAAAACACTCTCAAAAACCGTGCAAATATTTTTTAGTCGAAAAGTTGAGAAATAAACATAATAACGGCACCTTTTTTATTTTGCTGCTCCAGTGTTGTTTCTCATTTATCAGCTCAATGAAGGCATCTTTCAAGTAACTATAGACTTTCTCCAAACCTTTCTGCGCTTCCTGTAATAAATTATACGAGTGTAATGACATTATATGTAACAGCACTACCATATTGTTTGTGGCCACAGCCATACACAGCAAAAGCTCTGCAGAACAAAGATATTTGCGCATACTTTAGGGGCGCGCACGCGCGCGTGCTCCATATTCACACCACCTCGTTACGACCCGCACGCCCTACTGTTGTAGAGCGATATGCCCATTGTAACTTGAATTATAAGGCTGCGTTCGCGTCCCCTGAGTGGTTCGCTTTTGTTTAACCGTAGAGCTCAACTCATTCAGGATGCGCATTTTTCAACGAATTATCGCAGTTGCTCGTTTGTATTCGCGATAGCTATATGTCCATTTACACAAAACTGTGCTATGTGTAAGCATGATTGGATTGATGTAGCAATATAGCCGGGGTTGTTGTGATTAGTTGTTTTGAGAAAAAAGCACTTGAGAGGAACAATCAATGTGCAATATGATTAAATTATGTATTGTGTTACTCATCCAGCCTTAATGTCTCGAAAAAAAAACATTCAAGAATTCAGCCTAGATTTGCAGTGAGCGAGCTATCGGCTACCGCTGTGAGCCGCAGAAGTGTCCGAGCATGTGAGATAAATTCCATTTGCCAGTTTCCCCATATTTCGCAAAAGCTCTTACTGATTTAGGTTCATATGCACGTATATACGCTTTTCCTCGTTGCTTAATCACCACTGGGAGACTAAAATTGTTGTAGAGTTTATTAGATAGCAGCATACTGACGAAAGCTGGTCCTATGCTTTTGAAACGTGGTTATCGCCTTCTTCTTTGAACTCACTCATCTCCAAAAACTTGTAAACGTTGAGTATGTGAAGGATCTATCAAGGAAATGATGTTTACAATAGAACGAAAGGCTATGCGCTGCGGCCAATGCTGCTCTTAGACTCCAATAATTTATCACAAACGCGATAGGCACGGAAAGGTGACGATAGGTTGAAAAAAAAAGTTTCTCAGATTTTACTAAATTTCTATTGTTTTAGAATTTGGATGTCTTTGTTTTAGAATTCAGATGAATTTGAAGAGAAGTGGGGATTACTTAGGAATCTTTTGGTAGGATCGCCTAAATTAGCCTATCCTCATTCTGAAAGCAGCAGTTGTTTGCTCTGAACCAGAGCAGGCTCAGGAGGACCCACCCACCGCCCTTCATGTCCGGTTCAATGAACTCGTTCCGAGTCACAGTGCTTGCACGCCTCATCCCCATGAATTGGAGAAGGGATTGGAATATTATGACTAAAGAATGAAATATTTATTATACTAGGAGAATCATGTAGTCATCAGCAACATATGTACCTCAATTTAGGGTGAAGTCACATGCACATCTCAACATAAATTTAGACAATCAATCAAATTTGAACATTCACTCAAAACTTGAGAAAGGTCACGGCAGAGCTCATGACCGTGACAGAAAAGACAAACCCAAATAACTCCACGGCAATTCCTCGATTCATCTTCGAACACCTACTATAATAACGCGTTAAAAGTGTTTACGTGTTTTTGTGTGTCTGAATGTCTGTCTTTCACGAAGTTCATAGAGCGAGTTCCAGCAAAGGTCTTGAATTTTGAACGCTAGAATTTTGTCGTTCTATCAGCATGTAAGTAAAGTGTGCAAAAGCACAAACCGATCCGATAAGTGCAACGTGTGAAAATGTGTGCCAAACGGAACTATGCGACTTCTGGCGCGCCAAGATAGGCCTGCAATTGGATTTTTCCAGAATCGCGGATATATCTAACAAGTAACTCCGTAAAGCATGGACTTTAGCCTGAAAAGTGACCAAAAAATCACATTCACGCAAGATTGGAGCCAAAAAGGAATAATTGCGTAGATGTTTGATTTGTCAGCTATCTAAGAATTCAAGAAGATTTTTGCTTAATGTAACCCACGGTTGTCAACATCCTTATGCTAACCATCCAGCCATTATAAGTCAGTGAGTGATTGTAACCCGCAGTAAGTGATTCAAACCCGCAATTAATCTTGTGCAGAATACTTTCTTCCTCTCACAAGGGAAGGATACTGGTAAGTGGCCTTTTCGTATGAGATGTACACTGTCTCATAAAGCATGGAACACTGATTCCAAATTTGCTTTTGCTATCTGCAGAGTTTTTGAGAGGGGGTTAAGGAATTTTTTGAGGTAAGAAACTAATCTTGGCTAAGGTAAAAATAGGTGTTGAGGTCTTTTCGGGGCTTAAAAGGAATAGTGACTAACATGATTTGTCAGACTGAAAATATTTATTGCATAAAGTGCCCTGGAAGTCATCATGCCCTCATTCAAGCTCATGGTTTACAATTTCAAATGATTTTGTTGTTGTAGCGGCGTAATCGAGTTTTTGCATCAAAACATTTCTATAACTCGCCTCCAAAAAGAGCTTTGCAGATAGCGAAAGCAGATTTGAAAACAGCGTCCCGTGCTTTATAAGACAGTATGCATTTTATATAGAAACGCCACTTTGACCAAGTATCCTTTTTTTTGTCAGAGTCACCGATCTTACATAATAAAAACTTCTGAAATGAGTAGTTGTTCACGATTTATTCCTGATGATAGGCACCGCACGGTACGTTTTAAAGACATCATTTTACAATTTCGAGGAGCAGTGGTGACGCACTGGTGTAAGCATAAAATTGTACACCCACAATTTCTGGAGGCTCATATTTTTCGCAATTGATATGTTGAAAAGATGTCTCAAATCGCGTTTTCCCGTCAGTTGATAAAGTTAACGTGACGGTGAATGCAATACTCTCGTTAGTATCCGGGGACCTCATAGCCACTATTAGGGACATATAAGACCGAATTTATGCTGATCCGTAAGTCGGAAAAGTATGAAACGAGTTCAAGATCCACAATTTCAGAAGTATCACTGTTGCGCCAGAAACTCAGTTCCAGAATAAACCTGAGAACTTATCACAAACCTTGGAACTCAGCGTTGAGGTCACATTTCCATGTGAGTGACAGAGTCACTGGCTTTTAATCTTGTTAGCAATCTTAACATTCTTTTTGCTCAACGACAAAGACCTGCCTTTCTTTGTCTGTGTATCAATCTCCCGAACCGCGGCCGAGCGCTCCCTAACCATTGGAAAGGAACGCCTTGCCGGGAGCGGGCGCCCGACTCATGATGTATGAAATTCACGGGCCCCAACCTAGACGGACAGGAAAGCCCGATCTCGCGAGACGGGAGATGCAATTCATCGCGTTTTTTTGCTGGAATTGGCGAGTCTTTCATTTCACGGTGTGTTATGTCCTCCCTCCTTACTGAAGAATTCCGGGGAGGGCTGGTTTATTGATTTCTCTTGTATTTGTGCTCCGTCTAAGCGAAGAAACGAAACGCAAGCTTGTTTTCTTTCTTTTGTTTAGTTTGAACTTCTTTCTTAGTGGCTAGGTTTTGCAAGTAACCATAACGTGCATGATTGCGATATGCATGCGATTCAACTACATTCCATTATCCCACAATGTTATCATTACTTCGACATTTTGAACGCAACTCACCTTCATTCCATCATCACCAATTTGGACGTTGCGGAATGCGCGTCCGCCGTGATCACCCACGGTACACACAAAATAATATATTTCACGCCTAATCCTGTTATCTCGGATTTTGCGCACATTCGTTAGTGCTGCCCTTTTATGCGCTATAGGTGAGTTCTTTATTTTTTGTCTTTCTTTATGCTTGGTAAGCAAACCATACAGATACCAGAATTCCCATCAAAATAGATTTTATAATTTTGTTCGATTATTGATTTTTTTAATTGATACCTCCTTGTTTTGTGTAATGCCACATTCTCATAGAAATATGTCTCATACACGTTGCAGAGGAGCATCATTCTTCTTCAAAAGTTCGATGATGTATCTGTTTATAATTAATTCAAACATAGTTTTTGCAGGCGGGAATGAGCAAGTGCATTTCGGCACAAAGTCTTTATATGGTTTTGTTGCCTTTCGTTCTTTTATTTATCCGTAAAGTTTCCTCTCTTATAGTGAATAAAAGTATATGCGCATGAATACTGCAAAGTGAGTTTCTACTGCTCATGCAGCTAACGCCAGTTTCAGGTTTCTACTGCGATTAAAGAAAAGACAAAGTATGTCAGGGAACAGAAACGATGAAGAAACACGTACGAACTCAAATTCAGAGAAGAAATGCAAAGAAATTCGAACGGCGTCACTTTTAGAGTGCGCCATGAGGCATAAAACATATGCATCAGCGCTCTTGCTACTGATCCCCAACTAGGCATCCGAGCTCTTGCCCAAGTAACATCCCAGAATGATGCATCGCGGGTGCGAGCGCCTCGTGCCCGGTCGGGTAACGACCCAGACGGGAACTCCTTTCCGAGATGGAGATTGATACATACCGGCCCTGTGTATTCCATTCCGTATTGCGCAAAAAAACTTAATGGTCGTGCAAAAAATTGCACTATAATTAAAAACAGAGATAGTTATACAGGGTGTCCGTATGTAAACACTGTTTGATCGTTAATATCTTTCTTCCCAACAAGTCTTTTGCCTTGCTTCAAGTACCATTTTGTAGAGCTGGCTTCAACTTAGATTTACAGCATGCAGCGAATCACCGATCGCTCTTCATTACTGTAGGATTACGGTAGAAACTAGAAACATATGGTGTCAATGTGGAAAAAGCTGCCGTCTCAAAAATTTTCAAAAAATGTGAAAACTTGTACAATAGGGGTTTTTATGGACGCTGAGTTCAGTACTTAACTATTCACAAGAATGCGAAGCTTTCCAAACGGTAAAACCGCCTTTTTAGGAACATAGAGAAAATGGCCGCTACTGCTTATCTCGCATAACTTTTTAATGAAGTATTACGAAGAGTTGCAAATTTCATATTCAGAATCAGCAACTCTAGTTAGCCCAGTGTGAAAGTTTTCAGGTTGTTTTGTTTTTTTTAGAACAAAATATGGCCTTTCATGTCTCAAAATCCTCTTTGAAGTTTCTACCGTAATCCTACAGTAATGAAGAAAGAGGGGTGATTTATTCTATACTGCAAATCTAAGATGAGGCCAGCTCTACAAAACGGTACCTAAGCAAGGCAAACGACTTGTTGGGAAGAAAGATATTTACGATCAAAGAGTTACATACTTTACGGACACCCTGTATATCAGTGGCGTACCCAGAATTTCGGCTCGGGGGGGGGGGAGGGGGGACAAAAATTTTTTCAAATGAAGGTGCGTAGCGTTAGCCATGCACTCCAAAAAATTTTTTGGTATGCTTTGTAAAATTTTCTAGGGCCCATAACCCTTGCCTACCTCTAAGCACCATTTTGTAGAGCGAAGTTCAACTTATAATTAGATTTGCAGTATGGAGCGAGCCACCGACCGCTCTTTATTACTGTAAGATGGTAAGAACTTTCAGCTTGTAACGTTTTTATGGATTTACCCGTGTTTCGAGTTTTCAAAAAATCTGAAAAGTGGTGTACTAGGGTTTTCAAGCTCGCTGATTTTATTATTTAACTTTTTACGAGTTTACAAAGCTTTTAAAATGGTGTAATCACGATTTTATGGAGTCTTGTAAAAACAGCTATTGCTCTACATTGCGCAACTTATGAATGAAGCATTGCGGTAAGACGTAAACCTCATACGTGGTTTTAGCGGCTTTGAACGACTCAGTATACAAGTTTCCTGGTTGTTCGGCTTGTTTTCTGAGGCGAAATAGGGTCCTTAACGGCTCGCAACTCTTCTTGAATTTTCTACCGGAATCCTACAGTAATGAAAAGCGACCGATAATTCGCTTCATACTGTTAGTTTAAGCTAAAGTCAGCCCTACAAAATGGATTTTGGTGCTGAACAAAAGACTTTCTGGGAAAAGAGGTGTCAACGATCAAACAGTGTATATATACTTCTGGGACACCCTGTAGAATAGTATTTCAACTATCAGCATTTTTCCTTACTGAAGAGTTTCGGGGACGGCATAGAAAGAGCACAATACCGTCTAAGGATAGGAACGAAAAGGAGTTCTTAGGTTATAACATCACATTTATAAACATAATTATTTGCTATTATTGTGTTGGAACAGTTATAGCAAGAAATTTACTTATGCTCACTGAAACGAGTAGTACTGGTGCAGGCGTCGCTCTAAGTCGCGGTGCATAATGAGCCGAATATGAACGGCGGCGAGCTTGTCTTTTAAACTCAGCAACTTACTGCGCATGTGTTTAGCGAAGCTTTGCATTCTGGTTTCGCACCTGGCGCGCTTACATCTTTTTCAACCCGGGGTAGGCGAAACATTCCAAGTAGAGCAATCAAGTGTCCAATTTCCGCCTAAACTGAGTTGAAATTTATTATGAAGGTTCTGCGACTAGTCTTTCGACACACATTTGGGGCATTTAGAGCGGCTTACAAACTGAAAATAGTACAAAAAATCTAATCTCTTAAGGTGGCTCGAGGAACTGGATTAAATCTAAGTGCAAAAACGATGCAGTCGTTCTCTTTGCAAATCTTGACTGCCAATCCTTCGTATATTTGCTGTAAAATAGCATCAATATTTTCGACTTTTTACCACCACGGTTTAGTTGCTCTAAGTTGAGGTAGTTCAGACAGCATTGGGATTACTAACTCATAGAAATTTTGGGCTTTGATATGCGTCTGCCAAACATAATGTTGAGAAACCAAACCAAAGCAAACCAAACCAATTATATCGCACCAGTGCGTCACCTTTGCTTCGCAGAGGTTCGCACAGGCTCTACTATCTATGTGCCTTACTCATTCTCGTGAAATCGTGACATTGGAATTCACCGCGCTATGCCGACTACCACGAATAAAATGTAAACGACCATTCATTTAGAAAGTCTTTTCACGTGAGATCGGTGATTTCGCGTGGATGAAACTTTTCGCAGGAAGACAAACGCAAATTTGAATAGGTTTTTGGATTTGTCATGACCTGGTAGTAGAAAAAGGTAATGATAATCGTGAGCTTGAGCTACATCTCTGTGCGAAAACCTTCTCAAACGCTTAGCTAGAACCTTGGCAAATTGACCATTTACACAACCTTGGCGTCGTTTTCGTTATGTAGTAAACTTTCGACCAATTTTCTGGCTAAACTCTATCGCTTGCACATATCTAACCAAACTCATCCACGACTCTGCAAAAAGTGGTGGTACGGACCGAATTTTGCGGTACAGAAGCCAGGTGGACCCGTTTGGTGCGCAATTTCTGAGGGACCCACTCAACGAATCTACTCGTGCTTTTGCATGTTAGACTTTCATGAAGGTAGCATGCGCTATACAAAATTTGGGCTTAGAACGCTGGCTGGAACACGCTCCATTCGTAAGAGACACACACACAAAGTACGTAAACATTCCTTAGCCCGTTATTATAAGTCATGATAGCCCGTTATTATAAGTCATGATACTAGTGGAGATACCGGCTCGCTCGGCCTTTGTTAACATTTCGCAATTAATCTCACCATTCCTCTCCATTTTCAAATAACGTGTCCTTGTGACTCCCCCTTTTGTATGCACCTTTTTTGTCTTTAAGGTTTTTCGCAAGTACTCCTATCTACCCCCATGTATATAACAATTCTAAACGTCCGCTCGAGGTTTGCAAATCGATAAATGCATTCGGTTTCCTGGATTAATGTCACTTTTGCCCCCCTTTCCCCTCCCCTCCCTTCTGCTCCGCCACCAACCGTTGCTTAAACTACTATAGTAGTACATCAATGAAAGCGATAAAAGTAATAGGTGTTCATATAAACTGTTATTCTATTTGTAATCAGCATACTCATTCATCCTCGTGCCAAACCTCAGCTTAGTAGCTCAAAGTTTGCGAAAATAAAATAAAATCAATATGGTCCGATAATGGAAAAAAGTCCCGAAGTGTGCAGTGTTTATTCCTGATCGGTTTATAGAAGAATTTGCTATTTGAAACATATACATATAACACCAGTTCTGGTTTGCTTATATAGATTTTGGAGGTTTGAGATCGAAACATGACTTACATGTCCGTTCACGGCATTGGCATAGCTTGCAAGCAATGCTTGTCCGAACTTCTCTTGCGTTTTTAGAAAGCACTCCGACTCCGCCAGTTCTTTTAAATCCTGAATTCACTATGCAAAATACTAGCACATTGATGTTTTAGCCTACCATCATATAGTATAGTAGGCATAATAAAAAAAGTACTAGACGCATGAGAGCATTATCCACGATACTAGCATCAAGACCTTATAGTAACGGGCTAAGTGTTGTTTACGTGTTTTTGTGTGTGTGTGTGTCCGTCTGTTACGAAATTCGTAGAGCGTGTTCCAGCCAGCGTTTTAAGCCCAAATTTTGCATAGCGCATGCTACCTTCATGAAAGTTCAACGTGCAAAAGCACGAATAGATTCGTTGAATGGGTCCCTCAGAAATTGCGCGCCAAACGGATCCACCTGGCTTCTGTCCCGCAAAATTGGGTCCATATCACCACTTTTTGCAAAGTCCTGGATGTGTTTGGTAAGCAAATGTGCAAGCGATGGACTTTAGCCCAAAAAGTGGTCAAAAGTTTGCTACATAACGAAAACGGCGCCAGAAAGAGTTGGTTGCGTAAATGGTTAATTTGCTAAGGTTCTAGCTAAGCGTTTCAAAAGATTTTCGCACGGAGATGTAGCTCACGGTTACTATTGCCTTTAAGGGGACTACCAAGCCATGACAACTTCAAAAACCTATTCAAATTTGCGTTTGTCTTCCTACGAAAAGTTTCATCCACGCGAAATCACCGATCTCACGTGAAAAAACTTTCTGAATGAGTAGCTGTTTACATTTAATTCGTGGTAGTCGGCATTGTGCGGTAAGTTCCATTGCCACGATTTTACGAGAATGAGTAAGGCACATAGATAGTAGAGCCAGTGCGAGCCTCTGCGAAGCAGAGGTGACGCACTGGTATCAAATAATCTCTGTAAGCCAAGTTTCAGCAATTTCAGAGGCTTCCAGGCATGCGGCTACCCAAGAGAGATGGTCACAAAGTTAACTTTGTTTCAAAGGTGAAATAACGACTTTGCACTTAATACAAAGAACATTACTTTTTTGCCCACACTAGAAATCTCACTTTGATTAACCTTCAAATTATGGAGTTAAGAGCAAGCCAAAATCTCCTTTGTCCCAGTTTTCGCTTTCAATATCTTAACAGGAAAGGATACTTGGTGACCCGGCCATTCATAATGGTTTGTATATCAAATTTGCGCCTTTTAACGTTGGTTCGAATACTGTTTTCCATATCTGCGAAACGAGAACCAGGATGGAGTTATAAGTAGACTGCGATGGGTGAAAATCATTACTGAAAGTTTTTCTTTCCTCTTCAAATGCTGAATATTATTTGGAAAGGTATATATACAACGTCAAACTTTTAATATTCTCCTAAATAGCTTCAAACGTTAAAATAGATCAAATTGGGTGGTTTTAACTGCCTAAAAGTACGCAAATTTCCTACGAAAAAAGTTCATAACTGCCTTCATATAATCGTTTCGCAGATTTCGAGCACAGATTTAAAACCAGCTTTCGAGGTGCACCTCATGGTACACATCGCATTCCAAATAACCGGGGCCAAGTATCTTTTCCTTGTTAGACTAAAAGATGCCAATTAGGCTCAAAACTTTTGTAAAAGTTACGAGGTTTAGGTTATTGGATATATCATTCATTCTAAGACTAGGAGACGCAAGACCGCATTGTACATGTTGTCTAAACAAGCTTAGTCGTGTTCAAGATCTGTACTTGTCATTTATCGTCTAGGTTTATTACTCACTCTATGGAAACAGGGAAGAGCAAACTGAAACATCTTAAAGCAATGTCAATGTCAATGCGGTAACGCTTCTCCTGGTCGTATGATGGATGAGTTCTTGCCGCCTTCCCTCGCAATTGACCTAGTGGCACAGACTTAGCATATTACCGTATTCCAACATTTTAGCAGCGTCTTCCATTTGCATAGCTAAGGAAAAACAACTACATCTTTCCCTGTGAGAAACAATTTTGAATGAAATTTTTGCTAGGTGGACAAAAAGGTTTAGCACTAGTAACCATTTATAAAGGAGGACATTAGAATGCTCTAAAGGTAAATCAATGGGGTCTGCCACATTTCATTGATTTACTTCTTCCAAGAAAATTTTAGCGAACACTATATGTATAGTTTCGATAGCCTAAATCTTGTAGTTTTCGGAAAAAATAATTTGGGCCCGGTTTATCTACTTGGCTCTGAGTAAAAGATGGAAACGCAGCCATCAAAAGCGAATAATGGAACAAACGAGGTTTTAGTTTGCTTTTCCACGCTCTGATGGTTATTTAGAGTAGGATTCATAGTTTAAGTAGATGGGAAGGAGTGTTGTATTGAGTACAAAAATGCTAGCTAATTTCCCTCCGAAAAATAGTAGACCATGATTGAAATTGGCCACTTCTAGTGGGTGACTCAATATTGTAAGCTCTAAGAAATTGCTAAAACTTAGTCCACAGGGGTTATTTAACATGGCGAATTACGAATATGTTACTAGTCATGCTTAGTAAAGTCGTTATTCATACTCACCGTAGGCTTACGATAACGCGGAAGGGGGGGGGGGGGAGAGGAGTTTTGAGGAAGGACTTAGGAGGGGGGGGGTCGTGTTCGGTGGTTTTGTGCCACTCCTCTTGCTGGACCCTGGTCATAACGTCAATGACATTCAAACAAGTGCTTGTCAAGCCGAAAATTTGTTGTATGATCGCATCATTTTAAAAAGTTGTAACTTCATTTCATCTCATTTGCTTTACACTAGTTTTGTTAAAAGTGGGTTTTTTCTGATAGCACGTCAAAAGCTTTCTGCAACACTTTTCAAAGACAAAAACGGAGTACAAAAAATCTCAAAACATGAATAATTTTTTGGCTGAAAAAAGTTTTGCTGGATGAAGCAATGACTTTGAAAAACATTGCAAACCGGCGAAATCATGGCATTTTCCTCAATAGTAAGCTGAGAAATCTCTACACGGGTGGCTTGCGGAGCATGCTGGATGTCATTTGAGGGTTAAAACAAAAAGGACATTGTACTTGCGGGGCCAAGGTAGAGCGCTTGAAAAATGCATGTATCAGCTTAGTATAGTTTACTAAGGTGCAACTCAGTTTAGGCGAACATTGCTGGCAGAAGTCCGCTTCGTAACGATTTGCGCCTCTTCGCAGTCTGCGTCCCTTTTAGATCCACCTTTGAAAAATGCCATAACTCATGCTGGTTAAGAAAATACTCCGAAATTTGGTATAGCCGTGAGTTTACCAGCCTATGACAGTCATCAAAACGGGTCTCGTTTTCATTTGCTTATTCAAGAAAAAAACCAAAAATTTTGAAAGCCCCTAGGCTTGAAGGCCCCAGGTCCACCCGGAATTTTTACTGATGGAAGCAATTCCTAGCTTTCGAATTTTTTTGAGTAGGTACCATTCAAATTTTGAAGAGCTGCCTTAGTCAAGCTGTCTCGTATAAAAAAACCGATTACCTATTTGCGTCTTTTGCCTTGAAAATGCTCTTACATATATTTCGCTCCAGTAACCTGCTTTGAGTAGAAAATGCTGCAGTTTCTCGGCTGGATTGGAAGCGACGGGTTTTCAACTACCTTCTAGATGCTTTTTGACGTGAGGATTGAGGAAAAATTTGACTCTTTGCTGCCGAACCAAATCCGACATCGATACTGCAATCCTGAGCCCAAATTTCTGCAAACTTCTTCTACAATGTATTCAAAAGCATTAAGTAAAGTAAGGGCATTGTCTTTACGAAGGTGAGTCCGTATTCCATAGTTACAACTTTCTAGAGATCCTAGTACTTAAGTAAATTTACGGAAATCACGCTGCAGAAACTGATTGCGACAAGCCCCAAAGCTAATTGTGGCTCTGACCAAATTTTCCAGGAGAACCATGTACTAACATACAATACAAGCTGTATTCACTGTCTAGTTGGTAATTACTGTCAAAAATCTAAGAAACACCTGGCAAGGAAGTGAGTAACAGCATCATTACGCTGCACAACTCGTGTTTCGAAAAAGAAGCAAATGGCAGTTTTGTGAACATTTGTGAGTATGGCGTACAGATTTATTCTTGTGTAAAGAATGTTTATACTATATTTTGAGGTTATAATGATAACGCATAAATTGTTTTAGGGCAGAAACTGAGGCTTGAACTCCCGATGAAGTCGATGACGGATTTGCTTCAGTGGCAAAGTCAGATTTTTCTCCCAATCCTCACTTAAAAAAACATTCATATGATAGATGCAACTCCGTCGCTTCTAATTCAGCCGAAACTGCAGAATTTCTTACTTAAAGCAGGTTTCTGCGAAATGCATGTGAAAGCATTTTCAAGGCAAAAAACGCAGATAATCGCTTCTTTTGGAAGCTCCCACAGCTTGACTAAGGCAGCTATTCAAAACTTTTAAATGTGTACTTACTTTGAAAAATGAAGCTAGAAAGTGCTTCCATCAGTAAAAATTACAGGTGGACCTATAATTTTGACCAGCCTTCAAGCCTAATTTTTTGAAATTTATGATTTTTTCCTTGAATAACCAATCGAAAACCGTGATTTGTTTTGATGACTATTAGTAGACTGGTAAACTCACGTCTGTACCAAATTTTGGAGTATTTTATTGACAACAGCGTGAGTTATGGCATTTTTTAGGGGGGCCTATAATTTTGTCCAGCACTGTATAAGATGCCATGGGGACGACTGGCGTAGTAGTATGAGGCCTACGATCAGGTCGGACCCTGGTTTGATCATCTTCGTTTCTGGGCCAACCAAGCCCACTATCCTCCGAGGCCGGTAAATTGGTGCCAGAGTGACCTGGAAGGATAAAAGCACTGACTTGGTAAACGGCTGGTCATTGTAATAGGCTCGCACGCATACAATTGCCTTTTCGACTATAAAGTTGTGTGCGTTCGGCGCTTTGCTGAGGGTATGGGAGACGCCGAATACTTTGTCTTAATATGAAATGTCAATCATTTCGTGCAAAATCAAAGTCTTGGGGATTATTGAGAAATCTCTATGATCACAGACGGCAATCTAAAACTGGATATATGTGTAAAAATAATGACAACCCTTCGAAAAGTTAGCCAACTTCAGGCCCATCAATC